ACCAATTAGGTAACAAGGCCACCTTGTTTTTGTTTAGTACAGGAGGACCAGCTTGTCCTGTTTCTACCATAAGTAATTTTTTAGGGGTTCGAACTCGAGGCTCACCAAGTGCTAATCAATTCCTGGTGCATTTCGATGGTAAGCCTTTAACACGTTACCAGTTTTCTGCCCTGTTAGCTAAAACTTTACAATTCTGCAACATCAAGAATGGGCGTTATAGGTCACATTCATTTCGCAGAGGGGCAGCAACAGAGGAAGCAATGAGGGGCATACCTGACCAAATAATCAAAGAATGGGGCAGATGGAAGTCGGGGGCATACTCTTCATACATTAGATTCACATAATTTATAATACTATTTTTTTTTCCCCTTGCTAACAAACTTCAAGTTTTGTAGGTTATAGGAGAGTAGTATGGGTGGTGGGATCATCCATAGTATACTGGGCAGCCCGAAGTGCCACCAATAGACCTGGAGGAAAAAACCTTACACTTCAAGATAAGAACATCTCCATAATGTGGTTTGGTGTCAGGGGAATGAGATGGAAAGAATTTGACTCTTTTTTCGAGAATAAACTGAAGTTTACCCCACCACCAAATTATTTGGTGGTACACCTGGGTTCCAATGACCTAGGCATATTGCCTGGAGGGGAACTAATTCAAAATATCACATGCTCCTTCCTTCGTTGCAAGTTATTGGCTCCAAACATGTCTGTTATTTGGTCTGATATGTTACCTCGCTTATACTGGCACAATGCCAAATCTGCATCCAAAGTTGATGCTATGCGAAAAGATATAAACCGTAAAGTTAAGCAATTTCTTAAAGCAGAAGGGGGCTTGGTCATCAGGCATCCAACAATTACTTTTGCACAAAAACAGCTGTTTAGATATGATGGCACACATTTAAATGATTTAGGAAATTCAGTGTTTCTTAATAGTCTGCAAGGTGGTCTGGAATCCTTCTTGGGCAATCAGATGGACGTAAAGGTATTCCCAGATGACATAGCTTGATAGCATGAATTTCAAAGAAGTCTATAGTATGTGTTTATGTATATAGATATGTATATATTTGCATTTATCGACCTTAATATGTTTAATGGAAGGATGGTGGGTGAAATTATAATAGGCGGTAGGCTAATATACCACAGAACAGTCGAGTGGCGGGTGAACTTGTATAGACAAGTTCATTTGGCGGAGTTCGGGGATTACCACGAATGAGGATTTCTACCATGTCTGGCTCAAAACTCTGGATAATCTATCCTCAGTACTGGGGAAGATTCGGGGGTTACCTCAGCGGTACCTGAGGGACCAGCTTGATCCTTGTGGTACCAAGGGCAGGCTTTGGGGGTCTAACCCTGGGGGTATTATCCCCAGGTAGTTGTTTTATACCAGGGGAGACAGTATAGAGTTAGGGCCCGAGTCAGAACTTGAATTCCTTGTTTGTATGTGGCAGTCACTCTTGTTGGTACCAAGAGGTCTGTTCCCACCACAGTTAATTTCCCTGTGGGGGCGCTATCGCGCCAGGTTAGTAGGGAGGTCATCCCGGTAGGCAGGTAGCGATTCCCTGTTTTCCGCCGGTTTACTTTCATTGATATAATGTATAAATAGATTGTGACAAACGCGTGCCACGAAATGTTAATGCTGCTTGTATTATTAATAAATTGAGTTTAATTGATTTGTAGTTAATAGTTGTGAATCTGGAATTAATTGCATTTATCACCATATTGTGATAAATGCCTTTAATTCCAGTGCAGGCGCGATAACTCTTGTATCCTTATTCCCGGTAAAACATTCGTGAGACCATGAATTTTATATACATTGAGTAAATAAAATCAAGCCCCCTAGCGATACTGATTTAGAAAATTCTAGAAGGAGAGCAGAGAAAGAGCCTGACATCTTTAAAAATTTCACCCACCCACCCTTCCCATTTTATAAGAACATATACTTGCTGTGTTTTTTGTAATTCTGTGATTTCAGTGAATGGAGTCTGTTAACAATTGAAACTCGAGAAAGTTGCACTTGGAGAACTTGTATCCGATGGACTCGGTAAAAAATGATATGGACTGTGCGTAACGGTGTACACTGTACACAGTGGGACTGTTTGTGGAATAGCTGAAATGTCATTGATTAGCAATAATTGCTAAGGAATAACGAGTTCTGGTGCTTCAGTGACGGATGTTTTTATAGCTATGTTTATATTTACTTTGTGTTTTAATACGTATACTGTCAGTGTGTAACACACAGTTTAAGTGTTACAATCATAGTTTGCAAATGCATAATTTTTCTTTTATTTTTTGGGATTAGGGTAAAGTCAGAAAAGTCACAATCTGGGACGGGGGCGGCGGAGTTCGGGGATTACCACGAATGAGGATTTCTACCATGTCTGGCTCAAAACTCTGGGTAATCTATCCTCAGTACTGGGGAAGATTCGGGGGTTACCTCAGCGGTACCTGAGGGACCAGCTTGATCCTTGTGGTACCAAGGGCAGGCTTTGGGGGTCTAACCCTGGGGGTATTATCCCCAGGTAGTTGTTTTATACCAGGGGAGACAGTATAGAGTTAGGGCCCGAGTCAGAACTTGAATTCCTTGTTTGTATGTAGCAGTCACTCTTGTTGGTACCAAGAGGTCTGTTCCCACCACAGTTAATTTCCCTGTGGGGGCGCTATCGCGCCAGGTTAGTAGGGAGGTCATCCCGGTAGGCAGGTAGCGATTCCCTGTTTTCCGCCGGTTTACTTTCATTGATATAATGTATAAATAGATTGTGACAAACGCGTGCCACGAAATGTTAATGCTGCTTGTATTATTAATAAATTGAGTTTAATTGATTTGTAGTTAATAGTTGTGAATCTGGAATTAAGTCATGGTTTATAGAAAATGTTGAAAAAGGCCTTTGTGTAAAACTTTTTAAATTAATATATTTTGATGAAATTATATGTCTTATCATTTTGATAAAGAAAAAAGTATCTATTTATACACAAAGAAATGAAAATTTAGTTTTAATTTTGGTTTCTGAAAAATTGATCTTTCTGCACAGTGACAAAGTTAACATTGATGAACACAAATTGTACAAGATATAATTAGGACGTCTACAAGCATTTATGCTCACCATTAATACCTGTCGTCTGAAACAATTCTTGATTCCTTTCCCTCATTTTTCAGTGGTGATGATCTACCAAAACAGATTGATCTTTCGACTTCTCTCATATTTATCATTTTCAGGAGAGCAGTTCCATCATCGGATCTCTGTAAGAACTGCACACCATAAGGATCCTGCCCTCTAAAACAAAGAAGTCTTGATTTATCCATTTATTTGTGCAGTATTCAAGGCCCTCAACCAGAGGTTGGTTCACGTACAACTATCATTTCTGTCATTAGCGAGTAAACATATATACCCAGGACCTTTTACTTGAATTGTTCATTACTTAAGTCCTCTGAAATCCTGAGATTTATTACTGTTCTCTACCTAGGGTCTTCTAAAACGAAGAAAACATGCGTGTTCTTTGTCAATTGTGGATGTGCATCCTCAATATTAATAGGGGTACTACAAAACTAACTAAAATTCCCCGAAAAGCATGCCAAAGAGATCATAGGACGTTATTATTGAGGGGGCACATTCATAAAGAAGCTTTATTATATATTTGTTATATAATACAGGATTTTTGCATCCCTAATATGAACACAGGCACGCGCCCCGTATTAAACACCTTTATTTCACCCTTTATCACACCCTTATTACACCTTTCCGGAACATCTCTGTATTTTTCATTCAGAGTATCTCGGATCTTTTCCTATTTCTTTCCAAAGTTTATTCAAATTAAAATTTTATTTCATCAGACATTTTATGTTATTCAAAATAATTATTTGTTTGATTTATAATAATTTCATTTCTTAACACTGAATGCATTTATTTGCCTTTGTAAAAAAGATTGAAAAATGGAAATTCAACAAAAACAGAACACATTCAATTATTAAAGATACAGTAATTAATTTACAAGTTTATATATGATTTTTAGACACTATTTTCAAATATATAATATATATAATATAAAATATATAATAAAAACAACAATACAAGACAAAATCTGTATCACACCCCATATCAACCCTCGACCAATATCAGCCCTCTGGCCTTCGGCCCTCGGGCTGATATTGGAGTCTCGGGTTGATATGGGGTGTGAAACAGATTTTGCCATGTATTATTCTCTATTTATACTATATACTGGAAAATTATTGAGGTGTCTCCGTGCCCCTGGTTCCTACTGGCCTGAAGGGAAAATAATCATCAGGGTCTCTTATAAACCAGCAAAAACATAAGGTATGTTAATCGTCAAGGAATTTTCAAGAAGTATATTTTAGATATCTACTTATATAGTATTACTCAAAATCGTAAAGAAAATTGGAGGTCAGTGTGCATCTTACTGAGCAAACGGTACAAATAACTTGACATTTTTTGCACTTAAATTGTAACTTTTAGAGTAATCACTATAATTTTATTTTTCAAATGTAATCATGGCAATGAATATAATCTAACTTTATGTAGAATAGTTTGATTAATATTTATTATATAGTCGAGAATGTTAAGTATTTTTCCTTTAGTGTACTCCAACAAAATAACGTATTACTGATTTAATATGATTACAATTGAAATGGAAACTTGCTTTGCCAGTAGAAAATGCCAATTAAAAAAAAACTCCATGTCACGATGGACGAACTGATATGTGATTGGTGTAATTTTATTATGCATTTATTTGTTCAGCAGTATTTGCTATTTTCTCGACATTAACAAAATCTTGATTCATTGTAATTCTCAAAAATTTGTCAATCATTCGAATTTTGAGCTATTTAGAAATCTACAGGTCAAATACAATGAATTCGTTATCTATCATAGATAAGACACCATTTATAACTATATTTTGCTAAAGGTCTCTGCAATTTGACATAAAAATATTTTGTTAAAGTTCTCTCTAATATGACATGTTCCTCAGGAGTTTTCTTTTACATTGTGATGTCGGTCGTTATAGTAGCGGCAAACACACAAGAACGTGACCTCGGATCTGTCATCCAGGAACTAAACAACCTCAGAAGTTTGGTTGAGCGTCTCCAGAGAACTTCAGATCTCCAAACTACCAAGATAGAGGGCCTACAACAGACATCACGAGATCAACAAGCCATTTTACAGACACAGGACGTCCAACTGAGGAACTTAAAAGCAGAAAATCAAGAACTCCGAGACATTATTTTTGAATTGACAGCAAGTAGTATTCAAGAGAGTAGGATTAATGGATCAAACGTTGTAACTAGTGATTTTGACACAACACTCATAAACAAGATTTCAAAAGGTGACTTCAAGAATATAGTCAGAAAAGAAAACAAAACAGGTTAGTAAATTAGTATTTTGATTTAAATATCAAGTCTTATAATGAAGAATATTCAGAATCCGATTCATTTTTTTTTCTAAGAGATAAATATAAACAAATTGTTTATAAATGAATAACATTTGGAAAATATAACCAAATTGTTTTTTGAATTTGAATTTGTCATTAATATCATGTATTTATTTTTAAATGTTTAATAGAGATGGGTAAGTAAACTGATGAATTCTATATCATCATAAGAAATATTTTCTCATGCACTTATAGCATATTCATGATTTCATTTTGTTTCCAAAATTACATAGATGATATTTAAGCCCAAAATTTCATTACTTTTCGCGAAAATCTTTGTTGTTTTTTTTTAAGTCGAAACGTTTTGAATAGTCTTGCCAAAATAAAACAAACAGACAGAGACAGCATCTTTGATTTATTGGGATTGTCAATAAACTAAGTGAATATGCAAAAATATTCACCCAATGCACTATCAACCTAAAAACAATGGACAAAAATAAGAAATGTATTAAAATTGATGTTTACTAAATACAGAATTGAAGAGCAGAAATAAGAGACTCTTATCACAGTCAACAGTGTCTCCTCCCACTAAGGATTTTGTTGCTTTCTATGCCTTCATGTCAGCGGGAGCCACATATACACAGAACAATCATGTTCTGGTCTTCGACACTGTAAAAACTAACTTTGGAAACAGTTTCCATCACAACACAGGTGTCTTCATTGTTCCTACATCAGGTAATAATTACAATTTTTTTTTTTATACAAACATTCAACAAAAGCCATTTTTCAGTAGATGAGCGTCAGTCAAATATTCGCTTATGTTATACATTTACGTTATTAGGATCTTCATTAGCATTGAGCATTATCGGAGAGAGAGAGAGAGAGAGAGAGAGAGAGAGAGAATTGGGACTGGAGAGAGTACGTGGGGAAGAGAGAAGGGGATTGAGAGTGGGAAAATAAAAAGAAAATAACTCTAAAGGCTTTATGTATTTTACTTAATCTAGGCTTGTATGTGTTCACATGGACTATCAGAGAACACAACGGTAGCCATCATTCTGTCGCACTGGTGATTAACAACGAAGAATATGGTGCAGTTTATCAGAACTCACGTCCCGGAGATTATGATCAGTGCAGTACAACAGTTGTAATCTATGTCAATCAGGGGGACGATGTGTTTTTGCGAACCCGATATGGGACTGGGGGCACGTCTGGAGACATCATCAGTAACCCATATGGAAGAACTTCCTTCTCTGGCTGGAAAATACATTAAATCAGAAATAAAAGAGAAAAAATTGCTTAACATTTTTTGTCCATTATTACATAATTTAATGATTTATCCATGCTACAGATAATATGAAATTTTATTTTTAGCACCACAATACGTAAAATTCAAAGTTTAGATGAAGTTTAAATGTAACATAGTCCAGAAGGGTTTTCCAAGAAAGAATATCAATTTAATTAGTATTCTGGAAATCTATCATGTCTATAGATGCTCAAAAGAACTGAGTATGATTTCAATACTGTTCTTCCTCCGTTTATGGGAACTTGGTTGCATAAGCCACTGCGATATTTTCAGGAAGCGATATGTTTCAGAATGCTTTATATAAATAACTAAATAAATGAGAGACAGGCATGTAAATTATAAAAGCTGAATCCCTAGGTATTAATTCCTAACTCGAGGACACAAGTATTGTGTGAGTACTTTAGAGCGTTATTCCGGGAAAGGTTCACGTAATTCACAAGAAGTACGTTGTCTGACATAGCCTCTTTTACTTGCGAGATAAAAACGTAACTGACCTATCGATATCATGAATGATTAGTCATTGCTCTGTGCTGAAGATACAATTGTACTAATTGTTCATTTTAGCATAAATGAGTTCACAGATTAGTATTTTTGTAGGTTTTTTTTTTAGATCGATCACTGTTCGCTATCTTCATCTTTTTCATTCTAAGTTGGATCGCGTAGTTTGCAAGTGGAGTGCACAGTAAGAAAAACATTGCATTTTTAATATATAATTAAAAGTATTATGCATTAATTCTAAATAACTACTGTGGTCTTAAAATTTTCAATAGATAAGTTAAGATTGATTGAGACCGATTTGGGGCCCTTGAGGGTATTCAAAGTAAAGAGTAACACACACATACACACACTCAAAATGTCAAAATTAATCGGTATCAGCAACAAGACATAAAAAACTAAATAACAGCAGTGAAGGAGAAACTTCAGGAGTACTGCACAACAATATATTCTAGAAGTGGTGTAAATCAGATGTATATACTTAAAAACTAAGGAACTTTTAGAAAATTTGAAATCACAAACTTTTATTAAAATTAATAACATCAAAACGTACGACTTTTCAACGCTTTATACAAACATTCCGAACAATAAATTAAAGTCTAGGCTTTTGGACATCAATGATAGCTGCTTTTTCAATAAAAATGGAACTCGTAAATTTACTTACCTTGTCATTGGTCATTTGCAAAATTATTTCTTATAAAACATTCCGATTGTTCATACACGTACTCCGAAGTTGATGTTAAGAAGATGCTTGAGTTTCTGATTGACAATATCTATGTAAGTTTTGGATATAAAGTCTTCCAACAATCTGTCGGAATCTCCATGGGTTCTAATGGCGCCCCATTATTAGCAGACCTATTTTTGCTTTTATAAGAAGCAGAATTTATTTAAAAAATTCTACATGAAAAGAAGAGGTCTATTACTGTGGCCTTCCATTCAACATTTAGATATACCGACGCGTTTTATTAATTAACAATATTTATTTTCATTTCTGCGTTGATTCGATATATCCCTTTGAACTCGAAATAAAAGACACCACAGAGTCTGACACATCTGTTTCATTTTTGGATATTTAACTTTACAAAAACGTTAATGGTAATCTAACAACAAAACTATATGATAAACTTGATAACTTCACCTTTTCTATCGTCAGCTTACCATTCCATTCCATGTATCACCTGCATATGAAGTTTATTTCTCCCAGTTGATTCAATAATCAAGAGAATGCTTGAAACAATTTCTTAAACGAGACAATTCATTGACAAATAAGTTGTTGAAACAAGGATATCAACGGTCTCAAAGGTCTCATTTAAAGTTACATGTAACATTTCGCAAATTCTGTGGTCAATACAATGATCTTGTCAACAAAAACAAACTCTTATTATGTCGAATGTTGACTGACGTTTTTCATACAAATTGAAAGCCATTATTTTCTAACTGAATTGTCTACGGATTTTCATGTTTACCTGATCATAACAAGAAGCACACTACGGGTGTGACCGGTCGACAAGGGATGCTTACTCCTCCATTGCACCTGATCTCACATACGATGTTTTCAGAGGTCCGTGTTTGCTCTGCCCCAAATTTATAGTATTTTAATGGACTTCTGAACTTGATTACTGTTCATTATCTTCATATTTTATACAGAAGATTATAGCAAATGGGGATTAACTAAAAATACTAATAAGACATATGTAATTAATATACATCAACTAAAGAATTTGAAACATGTATATTTGTACTAGAGTATAAAAATTACTATTCTTTTACTTTTTAAGATTGCACAATGCATTGTTTCTTATTTTAAAAAAAATGTTTCATAAGAATGCAAGACTAGCCAGAAAAAGATTCCAAGTTCTCAGCCTGAGTGTTTCTTAGTTTTCATCTCGTCCTTTTATGTGAATTTTGCCGAATGAAACAATAATTATTTATCTAGTGTTCGTATGTATTAATAGCAGCAACGCCCTATTGTCTAATGTGTAAAAAAAGTGCATGTATTTAATGTATATTTCATTTTAGAAGTATCAATCAATCCCCAAATTCTTGTTGAGTTATGTGAACAGGTATCGTTTTTTTTGTAATCGGTATATTGTCAATAAAAAATACACTAATATATAACTATATCCCTAGATGCTAGTACATGCATACAAAATGTATCTTAATGATGTAAACTTTAACGAATCATAAAAATTTGAAGCAAAAATATATCATACCAAATTATTGTTGTTGTTTTTCGTTGTTGTGATTGTTGTTTCTTCCTTTCTTCTTTTCTTAAAAAAATCTATATTGTGTAGGCATTGTCTTCTTTTTTGACAAGCGATTTGTTACGAACGATAACAACAAAATAAACGATTTATCATAATACTATTAAAATAAAAGTAAGTTCTTAAATTAGCACTTTAAATCTGTATCCTGTTTAACACGTGCTTGTATAAAACGACAACGCATGCTCACACCATCAGTGAAAATGTCGTGATGGCAAAATGGAAGCACACTCATCTGTTCTTTCTTCTTCCTATTTTATTTCTTTTTACATTTATTTACCATCTTGAATCTTGGAACTCCAGCTCTGTAAGTTGTTCTTACTCTCTGTACATTGCTTTGGAATCAAACGCTAGCCTGGAATTTTATAAATTATTCAATTTTTATGTAATTATAATTCCCTTATATCTATTGTTGTTTTGGGCTCCATTTGGTGGTCTAAAACAATTCACGTTTCGCATTATACTTTTAAACATTCCTAAGGTTGAGAACTAATTAAGAAAATGTGAGAAAATGCATTTTATTAGATACATAGTTAGACAGAATATCTGAGAGAAATAGAGTGGAATTGAGAAAATTTGGTGTTCAAGCATGGAAATATAATGCATTATAGGATTAAGGGTTAAATTTCATATATATATATATATATATATATATATATATATATATATATATATATATATATATATATATATATATATATATATATATATATAAAAGTGAGGGGGTAAAAATTTGTTATCATAATTTATCACTTATGGATCTTCCAGTATTACATATGAGTTCTGTTTTATAATATACGGTAGACTTTATACAAGTGTAAACCTTAAGTAGGCCTCTGATCTATTAATGCATGTTAGCTGTGTTTGATCCATGGGTATGAATATGCAATTCATTTCTGAATAAAAAACGCATGAGTTATTTATAAACAACTTCAAATTGCAAACCCATAAAAGTCATCAAGATTGCACGTGATACACATGTACAATATTTATACTTGAGACAAAGACGTCTTTTAACAGTTGTAGATTATAAAATGTTGGTATATGTATTTTTCAACTTAATAGATGTGTTTTTATATTTGGCTTTTGACACTCGGTGTAAGGAAATACCTCCTCATGTCTGTTTAAAACATAAGCATGAGCTTCCTGTTTCTAATACATGGTAAAAATACAAACGATCAAGTGTTATCATTTCAAACTGAGTCGAGGAAAGTACACATTTTATCCTTATTCGCCTAGTTGTGATTTCTAAGATGGTCAAATCGAAAATTTTACATGACAATTTCCATTTTGATATTAATCTAATCTTCAGAAATACATTTCTTAGAATCAGTTTGACTGGTTTGGGTGGAGTAAACGTTTCAATGAAAATTGTACAATTCTTTTAGTTATGTCATCGAAAGATTTGCATGGAAAATCATCAACCATATAACCCTTTCAAGATTTTGCTCAAAAACCTGTTAAATAGCTCACAACAGTCATCATTAACTACAAATGCTCTCTGTACGATGTACAATTATAATTATTTCTCTTGTTTATGCGATTGCATAAACATTATCGGAGTAATTTGAATCCATCATATCAACCTTTAAATTTAGTTTTTGCATTCGTGAAAATGTAGCTGTTCGTATTGCATTTTCTTTTACGAGCAGTTACTTGCATTTAGTACCGTGTCTATACTAACATGGAAAATGTTACTACAGATAAGAACAAATATATATATATTCTAGTCTTTGGCTTTTTTCAGACATGGTCTTTTCTGAAAGGTACATTTTTTGGATATAGGAAAACATCCTCCTCAAGCATTACTATTGTAACAGCGTATTGGAATTTAGGAACATTCCAAAAAGGATTTAGTAAAACATTCACCAAAAATACATATCTTACTTGGGCAAAAACATTCCAGTATTTGACGAATCCTTTAGTTGTTTACACAGACTGTGCAGAGTTCCGAGATTTGATGAAGAAGCTAAGATCCGAAGGAAAATTGAATTACGAAACAGAAATTTTTTTTGTCAAAAGAAAGACCTTATGGCCTTTTCAGCTGGTGGATAGAATAAAAAAAGTATTCACTCAACCGGGATATCCCATACACTACCCAAATACAGTTAATCCCTTTTATGCCGCATCTCAACATGCGAAATATGCAGTTATGTCTGATGCAGTGCAAAGGAATTTGTTTAATACACCGTGTTATGCTTGGTTGGATATAGGATATTTTCGAGATTTAGTAGGAAATAATGAATCATTCGAACTGAAAATTCCACCAAATTTCGACCAAAGCCGCGTAGCAGTTAACCTTGTTTTTAATCAAAGTATGGGAATGGATCCATTTCGAATATTTCGGGGAAACATAGTTTGGGTTGGCGGGGGGATAATCATTGGAACAAGAAAAGTTGTCATTGAATTCGAAAAATTGTATCATAAAGCTGTGTTGTATTTTTTGGAGAAAAATTTGATGAATACTGATCAGCAGGTACTGTTTTCAATGTATACAAATCATGGACGAAGAACACTCAAACCAAAAATCGAGCTTCAGTTATATATTCCGAGAGGACATGGAAATATTTGGTTTTATCTGGGATATTTGTGTCGAGCAGTAGTGAATCAAACAGAAATAACATAATCCATGTAATCAGTGATGTGAACAAAAGCTGAAAATCTCTACAGTGATGCCGCAGAAGTAAACATCACAATTACAAACTGTATTATTTAATAATATTCTAGTGAATTACCTACAATTCGTGTTTCTTAGAAAATAGAACTAAAGTTAAGAATTCATACAGTCCTGTTCAAAAAGAAATATATTTTATATATCTGAAATACAATTAAAATTATACTGTGCATCATTAATTGTAAAGGTTCAAAATTTTTGCCAGTGGTATAACACTAGAACTCCTGCATGTCTGGGCAACAAAGAAATAATTTTTATTAGTAGATTTTTAGACGAAACTTTCTTGTTTTAACTACAAAAGGAGAAGAAAACAACTTTCTATCGCCTAAATTTATCTTTGTCGGATATATATGATCAATATGCGAGAAGTTACGATTACAAGTGAAAAGTCGAAGGGCATGTACTTGTAAAGTACATCGTTGCACATGCTCTATAGACAATCAATTATTATAGACTTCATTTAAGTTTGACTTACACATGTAAATCAATAGCAAAGAATAAGACTTTTTCATTATAACATTTATTTTAATCCTTTTTTCAAAAGACAGATTTTGAATACACAGAAAATGGAAATATTCTTTTATGAAGAAATTTAAAGAACAAAACTAAAAACCGAAAATGATAATTTGAATGGTAGAAGAATATTTTTTTTACAAATAGGTAGATATGCATTAGTTCAATATAGTACACAGGCCCTCAAGATCAACAACTTCCAAGATAACTGTATTTTGTAATCTCATTTGCTTATTCCTAACACTACATCATGATCTTTTATAAGCTCTATGGAAAAAAAAGTGATTTAATGTTTTATCAAAGTACATGCATCTACTGAGGACACACATCTATTTGGTATATTTTTGAAATTTTCTATTTTCGTAACACAATTTCAACTCCTGTATCCTATTTTTGATATTAAAAAAATTCCAAGAGGCACAAAGCTTGCCTTAGTACTGTCAAACCTCGTTATGGCGAATTTAAGTGACAACCAAAGACCCTGATGTCATTATACAATGTAGCTGCATTGGTTTGAATTTGGAAAGAAAATGTTTCACTTACAATTATTATTTTCTTTGAGTTTTGACATTTACATTTTTTTTGTTTATTGATGTTTTCCGAAGATAACCCAAATTTTATAGAAATCAAAATCTTTAGAAAAAGTTTCATTTTGAGAGGATTTCAAAAATTCCTTTGGTTGATATTCCAATGCCCTTCATCTAAATTATTTTAAAAAGTATTCAAAAGAAAGATTTATCTTTACTACGTATACTCCTACGTGTACTATGTATACGAAGTTTAATTGAAATCAGAAAAATCTACATAAATAAAGAGTTTACACACAAGCAGATAGATAGTAAGACAGACCTGAGGACGGATAGACGTATTACATACACTTAACTATCACATTAGTTCTTCTGGTGTAATATCAAGAGACGAAATATAATCTGCTACTCAGGACAAAGAAGCTGAAGGATAAGCAATCAAAGAAAAATAGAACTAAGCAGACAATACGCAGAAAAAATATAGATTTTTTTGTTTTTATCTGGATGATTTTAAATCTAAACATTGACAATATGGATTCATGACAGATTTTGGCAAATTCGAAATTTCCTATGGACAGTTTTATTACATTTGAAAATTTCAGATGACAATGAACATTAGAAGTACAAGTCTTACAAGTATGATAGAAACCATTCGTTATTCCTCATGTTTTACTAACAAAATATTTTACCAACAAAATCCTTTCTCCAAAACGAAAAACAAAGGCTCTGGACGACCATCAATTATTACGGACGTTGCCCGGCGGTGCAAAAATCGGTAGTGCATAATGTAATTAAGTCATGATCTACCTGTATATGACATTTATGTAATTTTACATTGGGGTAGCAACAACACACATTGTTTTAATGTTATAAATATCACTTAAGAGAAGAGGGAGTTTGATTTTTAGAAAGTTAGTTGTGATGGCTGAGAAAGAAGAATTAACGCTTCCCGATCTTTTCAACATGAGAAAAGATCTAGAGTGGGCGTGACGTTAAAATGACGCAGCGATGCTGCTCCAGGTCAATAGACATAAGATACAAGTTTATAACTTCACCGGGACTTATTTAATTATCCTATCAATTAGAAATATTGCACATTTCTTTTATTTCTTCTTGATAAAAATTTGACAAATTTTCATGAATTTATCCCTTTTCTTTACGGAGTAAAAATAAATGTCTCAATAATTTCCGAACAGCCCTCGTATACTGAGTCCTTCCTTACTGTCAATTGGCTTCTACACACAAAGCAGCTGTCTTTTATAAACAAAATTAAAGTTGTTATGATGACGAAGAAACGTCAGATGCTCATAACGTCATAATAAATATCTAAGTTAGTGGTTTTAACCCCTTAAAATAACTTAATAACGTTGTACCTATACTAAATATGAAATATAACACTTTATCATAATGATATACAAATCAAATTAATAAAGTTCATTTAAATCAATTATTATTCATTTCTTTTGACAAATATAAAGTAGTTTATATACATCGATTTCGGGGTCCGTTTTTTCCGAACTTGTAAACACACAGTTAATCCGAATTTTACCGGTAAACTTTGTGATACGTAAAAATATTTTAGCAACGTCATATGACGAAATAATATAAACCTTTAAAATGCGATACCTTGTATTCTTCACTTATGGTTATAAGTATTACTTGCAGAACATAATTAGATGTGAATATATAATATAGCGATGAGTTTAGATAAACCTACAATAGAAGAAACTTCTGATTCGGTTCCTTATGATGAAAGTAAGATGCCTGATTTTATACCCGCTTCATCGTATTGAACTAGACTTTTTGCCGCTTTTCATACGAACAAGGAGAAAAACTAAATATGTTCATTAATTCTATTTTGATGATGATCTATGAAAGGGTCGGAACACCCTCGGAGTGGTGGACGGGAATGAGAATGTTAAAATCTATTTGACCTTAATTCATTAATTTTAGATCAACAGAGACTGTGCGTGTTCACAACACCCTTAATAGAATGATACAAGGTATACATTTTTACAAAAAGTATAGATTTGTTTTTTGTAGAATTCATTATGTAATCAATAAAATTGTCATCTATTAATATGATATTTTTGTCTCGCTGAACTAATTAATAACTAGGTAACAATTAGTTTTATCCGTTTAAACGTACAATTGTAAGTATATAATACCCCATAGGTATTAATACTATACAGTACTCATGGACTATTTTTTTGATTAGTGCTGAGTCTTCACCGGGGTACCACGATTTTAAAATCAATTCCAGCCCTTTATCTAAGAAAATGGTTCAGTTTCAAATGTTACACGACCTTTAACTAACAAAGTTAGGTATCAAAGGAAACAAAGTCCCTGATTGGTATGTGTATAATATACAAATATATTTCTGCTCTAAATTCTAATGCACGAGCAATCAAAAAGAAACAAATGATAGTCAATTGAAATTGAATTGGAAATGTAATAAATTCCTGATTTATTTCCTAAAGTTATAATTTCCTTTTTTTAAAATTTAAATTACATAGTCTGTTCCTCTTTAAGCATTATTAAGGTTATTATCACAATTATTCATTCAACAGAAAATCAACTATGCAATAAAGATCTGTAATAAATTAAATTAAATTCAGAAAGTTAAACAAAACCCCATTTTGTTGTGCATGGTAGTAAGAATCTAGAGAAACATTTTGAAATGAATAGGTATTTCATGAAATGAAATATAGAGATAACGAACAGTATTCAAGCTCAAAGTTCATTTAAACAATACAGTCAGGAGGCAAACACGGACCTCCAAAACGTCAGAGGTGGGATCAGGTGCCATGGAAGAATGAGCATCCCCTGCCGACCGATGATACACGCCGTGTGCTCCTTGTCATGATCGGGAAAAACGGAAAAATCCGTTTACAATTCAGTGTGTAAATAATGGCCTAATAATTAGTATAAAACATGTCATTCAGCATTTGACTTAATGATAAAATTGTATTTGCTGACAAGGTCATTGTATCGACGATAGAAGTTACGAAATGATGATTTTAAATGAGACTGTTGATATTCTTTTTCATCAAATTGTTTGTCAATAACTTACCTCGTTTTAGAAATTGTTCATACGTAGAGCATGCTATTGCGTATCGAATCAACTGAGAGATAAACACCCCATATGCAGGTGATAAGGGTATATTGCTGCATAAGTAAGGGGAGTTGACGATTGAGATTGAAAAGTTTAAGTCATCACGTTTATCATAAAGGTTTGTTGTTAGATTACCATCAACGTTTTTTTCTAGTAAAATATCCAGATATGAAACAGATGTGTCAGACTCTGTGGTATCTTATATTTCAAGCTCACTGGGATACATGGAGTCGACATATGAATGGAAACAACTATTGTTAATTGATATTAGATTGTCAATATATCTAAGTGTCGAGTTGAAGACAATATTAAGAGATTTCTTTTTCTCATGTATAAGATTTTGAATAAATTCTGCTTCATATGAATACAACAATAGGTCGATTAGAAACGGGTAGCAATTCGTACCCATTGGAATTCCAACAGATTGTTGGAAGACTTGGTCTCCAAAAACCACATAGATATTGTCAATCAAAAACTCATATTATAATTAAATCACATTTGAGCACTTTGAATTGGTATGTCCATCTTTTTGCAGTTATTCATCAAATTATATTAAAAGATGGGTTGGATTCTTAAAATGGTAATATCTCGGTCATTTTTGGTGCAATTTTGCACTTGAAACATTCATTTTTACGCTCTTTCCGATGGTGTCATTTATTTTCTTATGCAGTTTGAGCAACATTGTGTTCCTAGGCACATGCCTGTGCAGAGCGCATTGGTGAGACATATGTGGGGCGTGTGTAGAGAAATGTCACTGCAACCAGTCTAGAGCACTGATCTTCAAAACTTGGTAAGCAATGTGCGAAACACATATACATGTACATCTAGGTGTCCGAGACCAGATCTGTGCACAGTTTGTCGCTTAACGCCGATAGGATTGAGATAAGTGAGCACAACACTCAAATTATCTAAATAAAATAAGGTGAATAGGAGAGTGTTATTATGTTGTCATCTGAGGTGTCGGAATATTGAAAATAAATTCATTGGATGCGGAAAAAAGTATTAAACCGAGCCCAACTC